ATATTATTGTGATTAAATTATAATAATAAAAATAATATTTTTATGCTAAAATTATTATAGTAAAGGTAATATAATATTATCATTTCAAAATTAATGTAATAAAGGTAATATTATTATCATACAATTATTTTAATAAAGATAATATTCTTATTATAAAATTATTATAACAAAGGCAATATCAATATATATATATCAATATATATATATTATAATACTATCAATGATCTCACTACTCAAACAGTAAGAATAATTATCATTGTTTCAGTACAACGATTCTTAAATTTTACAATAATAAAAAATGTTCAACACACGATTAACAACATACCTATTAATTATAAAATATCCCAAAACGACCAGCGTCTAAGTCCGAAAAGAAACTACATACTGCTGCACCTGATGCGACCGTAAGGTAACAATGACCAATTTGTGGCTTTGTCGGTTTTGTTATTCTAATTTTCGGCAGAACTTCTGCGCTTTTAATCCTATCGAGGTCACCATTGAATTCGCCATCCGCTCGAGCACTCATGGTCTGCTGACCGTTAAATGGACAGAAAATACGGATAACCCTATCGGAGACCTATCCCCAAATTATTCACCCCACATATTATTGTCCTATTATCTGAAGCACGAGCATCGCGCGCGCACGCACCACAATCTTTCGTCATTTTTCGGCGCGGTGGGGCGGTTACCCCCAACCGACCATGGAAAATCATGTGAATTCGAGCACCCTACCTACCTTGACGGACATGTGCTTGTCACATATGGGTAACACGTGTGCCCATTCACTACCTACGTTCTACCCTTCGTTCTAACAGGCCCCGGTCAATCATATAATGTATACTTTTCACCGAGTTAAACCGCCCGTTTTATCGTTACGCCGCGCTTCCTGTTCGCGTCGTTTTAAATAAATTAACCTGATGATTTTTCAACCACCGACACCCATCGAGGTGTACATAGAATTAATCCTTTGCACTCGAATGACGGCTCTCGGTCGTCATTAAAAATTGTTACACCATTTTTGAAAATAATTGTAACAGTATCAGATCCGTTTATACTTAAGAAAACTGTTAAAATTGCAATTAATGTATTTGCCAACAGGCACAATTACCCTAATCAGAAGACACGTTTCGGATTTCGAATTAAAATAGCTTCGACCGCAAAGGGTTAACGAAGGCCCTGGTCGCAAACGATGCGAATACAATGCAGTTTGCGAAAAGAACTGAAAGAAGACTAAAAAAATGAAAATGTAAAATTAAATTAACAAAAATGATGGAATATTCCTTCAAAATAATCTTGAAATGTACAATCAACGACATCTTAAATGCTCATTAAGAAGGATAATCTTAATTTGATTTTAATTGCTACGAGATAAGATTACGTTCCATTAAAAATTTCACTTCTGCACGACATTGATTTCACAAATATTTTCACGATTTCGACAAACGCGTCGCTTCGAACAAATTGATCCGACGATTTTTCAACCGCGGACACCTGTCAAGGTGTAATGCGAATCGAATTAACGAAAACTTGGTCGCGACGAACGTAAATGCGACGGAGTTTGAACGGAGAAGAAAAAAACTAAGAAAAGAAAAAACGTAAATGGAAAGCGTAGTTAAGAAAAGTGGTGGAACATTTGTTCAAAATAATTATCAACAAGTTTTTGAAGTGTACATACTTTCGAAACCCATCAAAAAGGAAAATCAATTATGCAAAACGATGTTTAATTTAATTTCAATGAATAATAAGATGAGCCTCTGTCTCGAACATGTTTACCTACATCGGGCCCGATGTCTCATTAAAAGTTTCACTTCTGAACGACATTGATTTCACAAAAATTTTCGCGATTTCGTCGAACGGTGCCGCGAGCTGTAATAAGTTAATTCAACGTTACGTAAGGAACCAGTTCGCCTTAATGGAGAATCGTTGGGGTTCCTATGCGAAGCGTATAAATAACAGATAATTGGATACGTAATGTGCGCCCAGTTAACAAAAGAAATAAAAAAGAAAAGACACCCTGCCCGTACTGATTTTTACGATACTCGTGCGATCGTTTTCGGTCGGTGAAATTTGTCGAAAACGTGGTTTTATTCTCTCGGTAAAGGGTTCTTCGAGGGGGTTGCTCTCCGTTTACGCTGGAAACTTTCGGCCGACCGTTGCTGGAAAACGCCGTATCGTGAGAAACATTTCGTGCCCCGAGTTTCCCATCGCTCCGGCGGCGAATATATCGACCGAATATTCTCCGCGCCCCAAAGCGTTTCAGGACAAAACTTGTTCCGGTCAAGCGAAGCCGAGGCTCTTGCGAGATTTCGAGAGTCTTTTTTCACCGCGTCGAAGGGCTGAAAGGACCCCTAAGGCTTTCTCGGACCAGTCCCATGCATGAATAGGCTCTATTCAAAGGCCCCGCGCTCTAAAACGCTGCTTCCTTTCGAAAGGCAAACGGTTCCGGAAGGTCGCAGGTGGAATCGCGGTTGGAACAAACGAGTTTTCCCCGAAACGGAAACCCGATGCGATTTACATAGCTATGGAACAGAGATCGCGGTCCAATGGAATTCCATCGTTCGACTCCCGCGAACAAGCTTGCCGCCCCGCGTTTTCGTTACAGCTGAGAGCTTAAGTGCTAAAATCGGGCGAGGGTGTGAATGACGAAGAAACAGGTGAGTTCGTGTGTTACGTGAGTAAATTTATTCTCTTAACAAATTGGAAGACAGTAGGAAGTTGCGTCGGCCTATACCGACGGCATTAAAGCCCATATCACAATGTCATACATTAACTAACGATTATCCTAGGTAGGTACAAGTATCACAATAGCGACGCGCGCGCGCGTTTCGGCGGCGTCGCGACAATAAAAAAAGAAAAGAAAAAAAAAGGAAAAGAAAAAGAGAAAAATAAGACAAAAAAATGATCGGCGACATAATATAGAATATCTTAAAAATCGTCGAGAGCTCCAACTGATCCGCAGAATGTAAACAAACAAAAAAAAAAAATAGAACGACGTTCGCATTTAAAATACGAGAAAAACTTTTCACAATGTCATTCTCGATGAGCGTCGCGCGTGTCGACTATCAGTTGGCGTGTGCGATCGTAAAAACTAAAATCTATTTATCACAGTTTCGAAGCAATCTTATCTAAAAGGCAGTCTGGCGGAACGAGAATCTGCCCCGTATCCGCGGGGTCGAACATTCTCTTCGTGGTCAACTGGTTTCTGGTCGACGATCTTGGGGCCCCCGCCCCACTTCCCCCCGGAAGCTCCGAGGTTCCATTTCCCTGTCGAATCATCGTGGAATTGTTTCCGTTGCGTTAGCCGCACCGCGCCGTCCCCAGGAAGTGTTCCGGAGATCGAGTTTCTCGAATATCTCCGTGTGAGGTAGAAGATGACGTGCGTCGTCGTCGGTTCCCGAACCGGGTTCGGGGTGGGCGTCTCACGCGACTTGCATCTCGGGCGTCTGGTGCTGCGAGAACGCGCGCTCCTTGTAGCACAGATCACTATCGGCCATGCTCAAGGTTGTCCAGTAGAAGTCGCCGGCGTGGGTGTGCGCGAAGTGTACCGGCACGTAGCACTGACCAGGTACAACCGGCACCACGGTCATCTGTCCGTCGAGGCAGACGGTGATGGCCGCGCCCTCCTCGGCGTCCTGCAGGTCCGCGAGCAGCCTTCTCTCGAGGGCCTCGTTCGCGTTGTTCTGGTTGTCGACCTCCTCGGTGAACACCTCGGCTTGCGGCACCGCCTTCTGGTCTTTGCCAGGCTTGGCGGGCTTGCCGCTGCTGGTCTTCTTCTTCAGCAGCCGCAGGATCGGCTTCAGGGCTCTCCTGAGCCGCATGCTGCTCGCCTTGCTCTTGCCGGACATCTTCAGGTTGTAGAGGTTGTCGTTCAGCTCGTTCTCGTACTCGAACACGTGGCTCATCGTGGTGGCGGCCATCTTGATTCGCGGGCTCGTCCTTCGGCGAGATGCAAGTGTACTCTCTCTCCCTCTCTCTCTCTCTCTTTCTATCTCTCTCTCTCTCTTTTTCTCTTTTTCGCTCTCTCGCTCGACACGCACTGAACCGGTTTTAAAGGAGCGTTGCACACGACCGTGTTAGTCTCGTATACAACTGACCCCACGAGGGACACACGTCTGCCAACGTCGTTGCTCGATTCACGGAAATAAAAACGTCTGCTGTGTATTCGCTCGTTGCTGCTGTTCTGTTCTCGGAGACGAAAATCTCGGAGAGAAGCGAGTAGCGGTCGTGGACTTTTCAGAGGATGCTTTGGAACGAAGCGCTAGTGAGCGAATGGTGCCTTAAACCAGCAACCCCGGACCTTATATAGGCCCGGCCGAGCAGGACGGGGTGACAGAGTGGGGAGGGCAGGTGCACTCTGGCTGTGGGAACTTGGAGAATTCGGAGCTTCCCACGTCAGGATCCACGCCGACCATCTGCCGCTTTTCTCCCTCCTCTGATACCCTCCGACACTAATCCAACCTACCACCCCGACCTGCACGGCCCTTACACCCACCCCCGCGATCACCCCCGTGCTCGTAGAACCTTGCTCTCGGTGGATCCTTCCTTTCCTTTTCCTTTCCTTTCCTTTGGCTCCTCTCCGGTTTCCACCGAGAGAAGAGAAGCCGGGGGTCTTTCGGCTCTTTTACTACGCAGCACCGTGATCAAAAGGGTGGATAGTCACCCGCTGCAGCGCTGGACCAGTTCGAACCTGTTACGACAGGTCTCGACACGTTTCTAAGACGGTTACGCGATTCTCGACGAAGATTCTCACTATTTTTTGTTGCGAACTGTTTATCGGTTTCGATTTATTCGGCCCCGTCGATCGACCCCACCGGGTTCAAGGACGAGCGTCTTCAACCCTTTCTGCAAGAACGCGATAACGATAGTGTTTATCTTGTTTGTAGAGATGGGGAGATGATTCGATTATGTGCGTTCTTATTATGGAAGTCTTTGATACTGTTGTCTCGCGAACTTATTCTTAGCACTTTGACAGAATTACCTACCGTTGTGCGGATAATTCGTGTCGAACCCTTTCCGGTCTTTGCACGGATTGGACCTGGGTTTTGCACCATTTGCATAACGATTTGACGAAGTTAAACCCGTTGGCACTGTTTGAAATAAAAAAGTATAATAAAAGCATACAAATTTGTGCTGTGTCAACAATGATATTAATTTCATTTTTTTATAAATTTTTAATTTATACTTTTCAATTTTCAATTTTCAATATTCAATTTTTAATTTTTAATTACTAATTTTGAATTTTCAATTTTTATTTTATTTTTGTGGTTAGCATTTGTTTTATTTTTCTTTATTTCTTTTCTCGTTTTTATTTGTCGTATGCACTGAACAAAACAACATTGCAATATAAACAATGTGTTATATGCATATTTATTAAAATATGAAATTTTATATAATTTTATTAAATGTAATATTTCTTATCTTTTGTTAGTAGGTGTATGTACAAAGATGATGGTGGATGAAATTTGTCATAAATAGTACAAACTGAACAATGTTGCTCTACACATTGACCTATACATTGAACTACACGGTCTACAGATCAAACAACACACACACATTGAACTATACATTGAACTACGCATTAAACTACAAATCGAAATAATTAATTATCAAAATATGATTGAGTTAGATAATGTTACAGCTATTACACGTTCCTCCTACATATTGAAATACATATAATAGAAATACATATAAAAGAAAAGGACCACAAAGGGTTAATCGCACACGTTCACTCTATCCTAGATTCTCTCTAAAATAAATCTAACATAAATCGTTTACGATTCACGATTTCCTACATCGAAACTGCACAGAGGACACTGACTAGATGACACTGAACGAACGTTGATCAAACAGGTTAATTTCTGCGAGTGTTCCGAAGCTGCGGAATAAGAACCGTCTGCAGTTTGTTTTCGAGCGAAGTTACTACTACAGCAGAGGGATTAATTTGGCCAATTAGACGAGACAGTTCGTCGCGGGGAGCGAATCGTGGGCAAGGCGCGGCTGGCGTTCTTAAATCAACAAGTTGGCGCAGGGGGTTGCAAGCGGAGTAATTAACGCGCGACATCAACAGTCTCTCTCTCTCTCTCTCTCTCTCTCTCTCTTCCTCTCTCTCTCTTCCTCTCTCTCTCTCTCTCTCTCTCTTCCTCTCTCTTCTTCTCTCTTCTTCTCTCTTCCTCTCTCTCTCTCTCTCTCTTCCTCTCTCTCTCTCTCTCTCTTCCTCTCTCTCTCTCTTCCTCTCTCTCTTCCTCTCTCTCTCTCTCTTCCTCTCTCTCTTCCTCTCTCTCTCTCTCTTCCTCTCTCTCTCTTCCTCTCTCTCTCTTCCTCTCTTTCTCTCTTCCTCTCTCTCTCTCTCCCTCTCTGTCCTCCTCCGTTGGCGCACAGTGGCCGAGAAATTTAGGGTCGAGCGTCTAGACGCGTCAAGATAGGCCTGACACCCGTCAGAGTCATTAACTGCGCTTCGGGCTTGGTTTTTTCCCGAAGAACCGCGACGCCCCGTCTGCATCCCTGCGGGGCCGCGCCAGAACACCCTCCTGCGCATAACTCTGTGTAATAAGCTACGAATAAAAAGTACGCTCTTTTTGCCCGCGTTTCTTTGCGTGCTTTTTTTCCGTCGGCTCCCCTCGGCGTCCATTGAATTAACGAGTTTTTCGGGTGGAGCTGCTTTTTTCGGGCGACCTGTTCGAGTTTCGAATCAGGTGAACTTTCCGATCAACCTGTTGTGAGACGCGTTTCTGGGTTCTCTTGTCTTAAATGTAAAATAACAATGTGCCCGGCAGTGACGACAAAATTGTGATTCGTTCGATTTTTCGTCTTGCGTCCGGTTTATATGTATATGTATATTTGAATGCTATGTTATTACTTTTCCGAGTTTGGAAATTTATTTTAATTTCTTTTTTGTTAAATCAGTTGAATGTGTTTAACATTAATTAAAATATTTTATTCGGTGAAATAAAAATTGCACAGCAAATTTATGTGGCATACATTACTTTTCCAATATTCTTACCCTCTTGCGAATTTTAATAAAATTAAGAAATTATAATTGGCCGGCGAAGAAATTAATCTTCGAAATTATTTGTAATTTAATAGTCATCTGAACGTTACATGAATAATAACAATAAAAATTAGGTCTCGTATGATATTGTGTAACAATCGGTACACTACGATTTTACGCATTTATGACAAAACTAAGAAACTTAAAACCCTAGAACGTTCAAGTGAAAGTAAGAATATGGATGTACTTTTTCCGTACCTGTTGAAATGATCAAAGTGATCATGAAATTTGTTCTCGGCTCCTACGTGTCGCAGTTGACGCAGACAATTTTAATTTTCTTACAACGTTTTATAGTTTTTATATTTATTCTTATAACGTTCAACACTCTAATCGCGGACAAGTTTTCGATTTTTCCGCGTGAAATCGCAAGCTACAAATTATTCTTAAGTTCTCGAAAGTTGGTATTACTGTTATGACTAAAATGTAAGCTTCAAGATGTCTAAATGAATGTCCAAATGAATCCTTAATACAAATATACAATTATATATTTTATTTGTTTTGCGCATGCGCCCTAAGAACTATATTAAAAAGGAGATAAAAGATAAACAAGAAAAATTAATAACTTTCTTGAAATTAAAAATTTAGATCTTTTTCTCAATGCGAAATTTTACAGAGTACTTGAATCGCGAATTCCAGGTTGGCCACGGTTGGATGGTTAATCCACTCTTTCTGCTACGATTTGTAAAACGAAAACAGGCCGATGACAAAATGGCGAACAAAGAATGTCCACGTAACGGTGCGAGGGTGGTCGCCGATGGTCGCCGGTGGTCGGAAAGTGCCGGCGAAATTGTAGGCATTTTGGAAATCTGGCAAGTGCAGCGCGGTTGCCGACCCTTCTGAGTGAACCTGAGTGAACCTGTTGAGGTACGGAAGAGGGTTCGTGAAGGTCGTGCCGGATCCCATAGGGGCATCGATGCGCCGTTCCGGCGCGACGGGATCGCTTCGTGGGGTACCCTAGCAGCCCTCTTAGCGGACAGGTAGATCTGGGGGTATTTGTTTTCACTTTGCACTTCGGAACTACGTAGTTTAAGGCAGGTAAAGCGGACGTACTCATCAAACCTTAAGCCAGAACCGTCCTCCCTGCGGCCGGAAATGATTTTACTTTCATGAAGACGCCGCCGTAGTGTACTTGCTTCTCTTCATTACATTCGACGAGGTCGCGGAGTCAGTTCGCTTTTTATTTGCGCGCTAACAGATCTCGGTAAATCCGTGCGGAGTTTCGCTCGAGGCACGATCATCGAGCGATAGTTATTTCCACGCTGCCCAGATCAGGTCAGTTCTTTTATTTTTTTTTTTTTATAATTTTCGTGTCTTCTGTCCTCTTTTCGATCGGTAGAAATGCCGGTTCGTGCAAACGACGCGACGCCCGCATCGCGCGTCTTGCACGCCATTTTTTTTTCTCGACGCTTTATCTGCCTAGTAAACGAATTTTTAATTACCGTACTATATTAAGAGCACGGTAGTAGTTAGTGCAAAATTGTAGAATTTATCAAGAAGTACTCACCTGTAAATTATGAACATTCGATAATTATATGAATATATTTTCGATTTTTCCTTTTACGATTCTTGATATTGATATAACTATAAATAAATTTCTTTATTACAGCATTTATATTATCATAAAAATTGTTACAAGACGGTATATATTATTTGCGTTTAGGACTCGGGAGTTTATTGTTAATATACAGGATGTTCCGTTAATTCGGTTCACTTTGGATATTTTAATTAGTCTGGTTAACATGAGATCTGGTGAATGAACAATATTGTAACCGAATTATATTTAAATGTTTACTACGTTGTAAAAGAAAATATCAG